CCAACACACACATACACACCCACCCCACCCCCACCCCCACCACACATACAGCAAAGCCGAAGAAATATGGGCTCAAACAAAACAGACTGCTGGGGATGCCAAACCATTGCCTCCTTTCTCACTCCTGTCTGTCCCACACACAAGGGCCTATATACACTATATATATATATATATATATATATATATATATATATATATATATATATATATATATATATATATATATATATAGTCATTTTACTAATTACGAAATTAATTGGGTTCCAGAACTGGTCTATTGCATTTTTTCTCCCCACTGCTCGGTGATGGTTAGAGGCGAGACTTTGGATCTGATCCTTCAGTGGAACCTCCTCTCTGCACTCATTTCTGTGTTGTTCCTGTTTTTCTTGTATTAAAGTCATAAACCTTTAACTAGCTATATGTTCGCAATCATCACAGATATTCTTTTGGCATGTCTAACCTTCGTTTTTCTTTATTCTAGACTGTTTACTTTATGAAATAAACACTTAAGCGCGAACAGAAATGAGCAAGTCATAAAAGTAAAGATGCGTGAAGCGGCGTTTCTGTCTCCTCACCTTGTGGCCTCATCCAGGGGAAGAGTTGTGTCGGTGACGGGCTCTGCTCGGTCGCCTCCGTGTCTTCCGTCCCCAGCGCTGTCGCGCCACCGAGCTTACAGTCGTTATACTGGACCAGGTCGGCGTCTTGGGCCCCAAAGAGCGTCTGTCGTTGCAGGGCGTCATAGCCATAAAAGTTCCCCGGGTCTCCGTGACATGTGACCGCGCACGGACTCTGCTGGTAGGGGTTGCTCGGGAGCGAGGAGGCGCCGTGGTGGTAAAAGTCCTGGATCTGGGGAGTGTGCTGGAAGGTAGCGCCAGATCCCGGTCCGTAGACCACTGTGGGCCGGCTGCCGGCCAGGTCCTGTGCGAAGCCACATTCATAGTAGTTCGGGCGTAACGAATCTCCACTTTTATATTTTGAGAAAAGCGAATTTACAAAATATGAGCTCATCTTTCCTGTTGTGGGAATTTTTTTAAGTTTGCCTTTTGCTCAGAACAGTCAGAGAAGGCTTTCTGGTGTCTTTTTTCTCTCTTTATTGTTTCCTGCCGCTTCTGTGCTCTGCTGAGAGGCAGTGACACGCCGACAATACACTCCTACCCACACACACATACACACACACACAGCCCAAGATGGGGGAAATAGGAGCGGGTCTGCCGCCGGGGCTGTGCAGCGTTTCCCTCACAGCCGCAAACTCGAGCTGTTTGCGGCGTTTCTAACGGTAACAAGAGGCGAGCAGAGCGCGCGCAGCATCTGCACGACAATCAGCACGGTTCCATAAGATCTCCGGCGAAGAAGAGGGAAAAAAAGAACAAAGCAGCAGAGGAGGAGGAGGAGGAGAAGGAAGAGAGTCTCCTGCGCATCACAATTCCAGTGCGAAACGCAGGAACCGGGAGCTTGTCGCGCTTTCAGCCGCTTCCCCTGATTTACTCTTTTGCAAATGACTTGTTTCATATTTTCTCACTCTGTTCCTCCCTCTCTCCCCTCTCTCTCTCTCTCTCTCTATCGCCCCCCTCTCTCTCCCCGCTCCTCTCTCTCTTTCTTTCTCCCCCCCCCCTCAGCCTTGTCGTGTGTTTTTGAACCATTTATACGTTCGTGTGTCATTTTACAGTTTTCATCCTCTATAATTTTAGTATTTACTTGATCATATTTACTTACTTTAACACTATTTTTGATGTCCTACCCTTCTAACATGAAATAACTGTGTTAAAGTATCTAAATATGATTAAGTAACATCTTCATATTTTAGACAAAAGTAGAGGAGCAATAAAAAAACCTCTAAATTCATAATTTTTTATTCACTCTCCTTCACTAATCCACTCTTTTTAATTTCCCTCTTTTAACTTATTGCGCATATCGTCAAATACTCCTTCAAACTAACTAAAACATAGACTATAGTGCAGGTGCGTCGCTGGGTTTGTTGTTGGCATCCCTTTATAATTGCCACCCCCTCCCCTGACCCCCCCTCTCCCATTGTGAAACGGGAGCACCATGTTGCAGGAGGCCAAACGTGTCGGCGCGGCCTCCGGATGGAGGAGAGCGAAGGAGTCCTGCCTTCTAATTGGCTGCAGCTTTTTAACAAGATCCTGACTGTAAATGTAATGGACGTTTTAGAGCCATGCAGCTGTGGGAGCTTCCCTGCTCTTTCCCTTTCCATGACCGCTGCTACTGTTGAGAAAATAAACGAGCTCCAGAGCAGCTCTCTGATACTCGTAGAGACTACTTTTAGAAATATGATCTCCATAAACATGCGAGAAGGACCGGGGAGGATAATAGCCTCGGACAAAGTGGCTGTAAACGCTTTAACAAACTATAAAGCAGTGTAAAGCGGGGTGACACTGTGTTTACCGCGCTCCAATAGAGACTAAATTGGGAGGGAAGGGGATTAAGACGCGCCCTTTAGGCAGCCGGAGCCTTTAAACGCCTTGTTGTCGTTTGCTTTTTGTTGTTGTTTTTTTTTTTTCTTTTAACATCTCATATTTGCCATATGATCAAATCTATAGAATATAAGGATAGGTGGCAATTTTCTTCCATATTGGAGGAGTTAACTTTGTTTATAAAAACACCTCCAATCCTCTTGCATTGCTATAAACTTTATTTCTGCATCTTTTCCTGTTTGACTCCTGCTTATGAATAATTTTGTTCTCAATATCTGGTTTTATCTCCAACCTGGGCTGCTTTGGGTTCCTAATGTCATTACACCATTGTTTACTCTTTATAACACTCAGACTGGAGAATACAAATAATGCAGACATCTGCGTGGATCGCAGGCCTGCTTCGTTTCGTCAGATGAAATAATTTAAGTTTTCCATTTATTGCTGAGAATATGATCTTATTGGAAGTCTTCTGCGCCGTGCTTTACTGGCGCAATAAGGAGTTGGCTTCTCTGTGTTCTGTATAATGAGATGGGGACTAGGTGCACAATAGTTACTTTGCCCCACACAGTGAATCCCCCGCAGAACGCCTGCTCTTTGCTGATGTGCACCACGCATAGCTCGGGGAGCCCGCTGGATTCTGGGTTAACTCATTATTTTACTAATCGCATCGATGCCTCAATCTTTCTTTTGCTAATCTCTCTGCAGGATAAAGCCTTAAAAATGTTCATCATCTAAAGCTTTTGACCGGATATAAAAAGGGGGGCTGTGTCCTGCCCTTCCTTTCCACTTTCCGGATGGAGAAACGCATCCAAATATCATATTTAATATGCATATATGTGCATCATCGTATTTGTATTTACTAAAACATACATATTATCCGAGGCCTCAACGCTTGTGACGCTGTTCCCCATTAGAAACACCCTGGTGAAGCGGGGTGCTGTGCGGCAAAGCTGCAGAAGAAATGCTGGAAGTCTCACGAGCTCTGCTAAAATTAAATGAAATAATATTTATGACAATGTTAAAAAAAAATAGAACGATTTTGACCATTTTTAAAGGAAATCCTGCGCATGTACTTTATGTAGGAATTTCAAAATTAGACCAAGACCTGTTCTATCGATGGAGCAAGATCCCCACCTAGTGGCCGTGTGAAGTAAGGACATGAGAAGTCAAACCTAAACATGTGGCCTCTACTAA